CTGTGTGTCCATGTAGTTTCCAACTTCTGTCAAGATCAGTCATGTTGGATGCTGGTTGAAGGCCTTTTGCATTGTTTCAAATGTTTCATGTTACGGTAATGGTTTATGCGAGAGAGAGAGAATGGAACTCTGGAGTGATGATGTGATCCCTTTCAGTATCATCCCAGCAACAGACACTGCCCAGTGTCTAAGGATGAAAATGATATAGCATTAGAAGGCTCTCAGTAATTGATATGATGGTCAAAATATTTTCATTTGTATATTCATGGTCATGGCCAGGGAGTCTTTTAATAAAAACGAGCACTTCTGATTAAAACCACACTTGAAATCATACCAACTTCCTTATTCAAAAACGCCAGACCACCAAATATTTGCTTAATAGAAATGTATGCTAATATTTGCAAATAAGCCTTGTTCTCATACATATATTGATCCTCCCCTCCCCCCCCCCCCCCCATTCCATCATCATCCTGTCTTTAAGTGATATAGGGAAATGTTTTAATCTACATCGAGGAGTGCTTCCAACTCAAGTCAAGTGATGTTGGAACAGAAGGTGTAGCTCCTTTTCGAAATTTGATTCCTGTGTATGTATCGGTAGATGGATGGTATGAGTCCTTCTTCCATCAGGCTATTGAAAAAAAAGATGTTGTATTGCCCTTTAGGTGCCAAAACATACGTCGGTCGGTCGCAAATCTTTTCTTCTTTTTTTCTTCTTTTTTTCTCCCTCTTTGGGCTGATATTTTGTAATGCTTTAATATTTTTTTCTCTAAAAATGGTGTTAAAAAAAAATAATTAAAAGCCGACCGTAGATTTCAAGAGGGCCCTGCATGGTCTCCCTGTTAATTAAAACATTAGTTTTTACTTTTTATTCTTATGAAACATTATAACATTTTTGGAGACTTGTTATACAAGTGACCAACAATGTACATGTCCTCGTCGAAGATCAAGCATGCAATTTTCTAAGCTCACGTTTTCATCCTAGCGAGTTGTAAGAATGATTTAGAAGTACTGTCACGAACTTGCAATGCATGTGAAGGTGGGAGTTGTAAAAAGGGTCACACTTAGCAAACATTTGCATAGTACTTCCTTGAAAGGAGGCTGGAGAATGTGGATTCTCACAAAACAAAACAAAACCGCACAAAACGGTTAAATGATTTTATGTCGACAGCCTGTCTGGAATCTCCGCAAAATGCGAAAAATTGAACAGCGTCAATTTTTTTTTTTGCTTCCATTTAAAATTATTTGAAATTATTAAAAAACTTGAATTCGGCGTAAATATTCATAATTGAATGACACACGCCCTTAAAACTAAAACAACAACAACAACAAATAAAATCTTCCAATTAATTATCTTTAGCCTTGGTACATGTACCTGAAGATTCTGTATTTTTGCTACAACTAATCGACCTAATTAATTTGGAAGATCTAGGGCAAAATTCAACTTCCTGCTTTAGTGATGAAATGTCATGGAGAGGTGCAATCATGTACGGTAATGGTATGTGAAATTACATAGATGTTTTATGACCCAGTCATGCTAGTCAGTCTCATGTTATAGTTACTCAAGAATACTTGTTCCATTAATTAGTATTGGTATTTGGAGGGGCATGAAATGTGAAGAAGTGTTGGTTAAAAGGGTATGACCAACGTGCATCATGTGTTACATGGTTCATGCACACCAATTTACATGCCATTACTTGGGAGCCAGGCTAATTTTCTCAACTCTCTCTCTCTCTCTCTCTCTCTCCCTCTCCTCTCCTCTCCTCTCCTCTCCTCTCCTCTCCTCTCCTCTCCTCTCCTCTCTCCTCTCTCCTCTTTCCCTCCTAATATATCTATCCATCTCTCTTTTCTCTCTCCCTTTCTCTTAGTACCGGTAGTAGCTGCATGACTGCCGTATGATGTTGTAACCATGACAATATCTTCAGGTTCTTTTCCTCTCCCCTTGAAACAGCAATTTCAGGCAAAGATGAGCAGTGCAGCCTTCATTTTGTTACACACGCACCCCAAATTCCTTATTTCCCAAGCCTCAATTATGCTGACATAATACATAATAAGCATAGAACAACATAGAAAGGAACTTTAGATTTTGAATACAAAGTAGACTTATCCTCGATAATGTTGAAATTCATATTTTATCACTATTTATCTCTCAACAAACTTTAGAATTTGATATCCTGTGTTACAAGAAGATAAAAGTAGGGACATCCTGATTTCTAGGACTATCCTGAAAATAAAATATGAACACTAAAACCTGTACAATTCTTGTTCGTGTACATACTACAATTCTTGTTCGTGTACATACAATTGAGGATGTATTGATGCCCTTAGATTTAAGTCGAGGGAAAGGCATCAAATCTTGTGTAGAAACACTTATCGAGAGAAATGACATTTTATCCAAGATCACCATTGCTTGAACCCTGGTTTTAATGCCAGGGGCAGACATAACTTGGGCCGGCAGGATCGCTCGTCAGTGAGCGATTGAGCTCTGGAAAATTCACAGCTCTTTGGGAAATCTTAGTTTTACCATATCAAGTTTTAAAAAAGTTTCTAGGAACAAAATAGTACATAGATTGAAGTTGAAAAGAAAAAAACTTTAAAAGAGTTATTTGGCTACTAGTGTGGCTTTAAGGACAGTGCCAAGATTGCAACTTGTTGTTGCAGTTTCAGTTAGCCTGTAATCAGTCATTTCGGGTTTCTAGCTTCCTTCCTCTTTGATTAATACCGGGTTGAGTCAGGCGAAGAGGAGGAGGGGTTGGGGGTTCATAGATGAGGCACTGATATCTAGGAATATGTAAAGACTTGACATTCAAGTCTGCTGTCAAGACTACATTAGTTGACTGCCTCCCAGGCAAGTATGTAAAGACCCCCCCCCCCCCCTTAATAATAATAATAATAAATACTTATAAAGCAAACTTATCTAATAACTTACTCAAGGCGCTATACAAAACAAAACACACCAATCTCTCTTTTATCACTTTCTATCTATCTTTTACTTGATGTGTACAGTCTGGCACTTAGATGAATTGTCTGTAATTTAATAACTTCCCAGCATGAAATTCAAAATTCAAAATGACTGCTTTGGGTTTTACAGTAATATTTTCTCCTATCTTTATTTTCCTCCCCCACTCGACCCTACTATCCATTACATATGCTTTTCCTTTTTAATTATTATTTTCTTTATTCATAACATTTCTAAGATCTATTATAGTTTAGTGCTACATGTACATGTAATTATGAAAACTAAAACAAATATTTGGTATAAGGTCATAGAGAATGAGTGTGAGATGGAATTATATTCAGCCTATAAAACAATGCATCAATCTATTAATATCCATACTAACAAGGTATTTGTAATTAATTTGAGTGCTGATCTTGAGCACTTCCCCTTGTATTTCTATCAGAAATATGTGAGTATTGACTGCTTCGAAGGGCACAGTTTAAACTATTGCCCACTGTACTGGGCGTATTGGAACGTGTTGGACACCTCACGTGCAGGGTCTTAATTGATAAAAATATAGATCAGCAAAATATTTCACCTGAAGGTAGGATTTTGAGTGCATTAAGCCATTAGTGCTAAGTACCCCGCTCACACCATTCCAAGGAACTTTGAAGTGATTAGGGATTGGGAGGTTTGGGTACACGTTTATAATCTTGAAGCGTGACGGCCGGTGCAGCCCTCTGGCACCGCAGGATTGGTATATTGTGCAAGGATAGGCCACTCATACATGGGTGTTGAAATTGGAGATGCTCTCGGCAAGTTGAAAGGGAGGGATTTGTTGCATATTAGCAATTTAACATGTATTCATTGCTCATAGGCATTTTTTGTACTGTAATAAGTAGCATACAGGTAAAAACTTGAAAATCACCTAGTAGTTCAAAGTGGAAGTCCATGCAGTCCACCCTGATAATTAAATGGTATTAATAAAAGCAGAAAAAGGAGAGAAACAAACATAAGTTTGCAAAAGTTTAAGCAATATCCGACTAAAATTGGAAAGTTATGAACTGTTAAAGTTGTCTTCAGTGAAACAAAAATTGGGAACACTGTCACATATATTGGTCCTCTTCAATGAACAGAAATTTTCATTTAGTTTGGATTCTCATAAAGGGATGTTTTGACATTTTTCATAAAGAAAAAAAATGATCAAAGATCAAAATATATCTTTTCACACATTGTGGGAACAATGCAAGATGTATATTTAGTTCTTGGACGATGTACCGGGTCATTTCTTTATTTCTACCAATACCCACTGTAAAATGTAATACTTTCTGGCACAAAAATATGATTTTATAAAGTTTAGTAAGAAGACAAGAAAATTGTATAAGAATCATCATAAAGTAAACGTGATCAATGTAATAAAAAGTTAAAAACATAGCTTTACTTTTGAGTGGGAGGCAAGATATGCTTTGTACAGTTACTAATAAGGACATTGTACCGATTCATTGTGTATTTTTAATCATTACCCAGATTAATCTTAGAGTTATAATGATGCAGAAAATCATTAAACCTCTTCAATTTAGCTTGTTCTCCTTGAAATAGGTTTATGATTCTAATTACTTTCAGAAGATCTCCTCTCCAGTAATTGAGATAAGAAGCTAAATTCTTTAGTTGATGCCCTTTGTTGTTGGTGATTGTCTAGAAATCTGTGGTGATTACAGTGGTAATGCTTTTCAAAGATAAATGTTTTGGTAATCCTCAATTCATCTCCTTTTAGAATATTCCTCCATCATGTCTTGTTAAGAAATAAGAATTAATTAATAACTATTTTCGATGCTGAACACAGACAAAAAAATAATTAAAAAGATATTTGTTTGGCTTAAACACTCATTTTTCTTTAATTATATATATATATTCAAGTGGAGGTAGATTGTAAGTCCATTAACTAAAATGTAGAAAAATACAACTTCATTTACCAAGGATGATTTAAGAAACCATGATAAATAACATGTTTGCAATCATATTAAATGTTATTTTTTATATTTCTCCGTTTTCTCTCCTATTGTAGGAAGCACAAGAAATCTCGCTGAACACCATGTGCCACCATGAGCCTGAGTATTACCTGCGGGGCGACTAGAAGGTCACCATCCAGGCATCATCCGCGAACTGCCTGGATATAGCTTAAAAATCACAATGCTTCATCAATCATTTCCACTTTTTAGCTTGTTGAACCTGTTTTGTATTTTGTTCATTTCCTTGTACTCAATCAAGATCATTCACACCCAGCTGAAATTGTGAAGCCTCTCCCCTCCATCATGAAGTGTACATAATAGGATTATCAAAAAAATATTGAAATAGTACATACTCACATTGGAACATCCCCCTTCTGCATGTACCTGTACCTACTAGTAGAAGAATCATTGTGGGAAGGGGTTAGGATGTGTTAGAAAGTTAGAGGGTTGTAATTGCTCTAAGTGAATCAAGCCTTCAATCATTATTTTACCTTTACTCTTGTATTCGATCTCGCTTTATATGTGGACTGAAAATACGGAACCCCCTAAAAACTGATATTCTTCCAACCCCCTCATCCCCCTTGGCCATAAAATATCTTACACCACCCAAAAATTCACCAGTGGATTGTATTACACAATGAAAGCATTAACTAACATCAAGGGATTTTGAAATATTGATTAGTTGATTTCAAATTAAGTTTGATAACTACAACATCACAGGCTTTTTCAATAACTGGTCATGATTGATTTTGATTATGAACTTATGTTGAGTCAAAGCTTATTATGTAAGAGGACTAATGCCGTAATGAACTTCCTGATATCATGTCAGTCACCTTTTGGCTTCTGTACTCTGATGTTTGCTGGAAAACTTGTTTTGATGTAAACTGGATGACAAGCATGAGTACCTCCATATGCAGGAAGTGAGGGAGAGGTTTTCTCTTGTTTTGTGTCTATCATGGGGGAACGTAAGTCGCGACAGAAAGAAGATCCATCTCTAGGGTGATGTCATAATCATATTTTTCATCTGTTTGGTACCAGAAGGGCATTGATTCCTGTACTTTTACAGCATTAATGCTCTTCTGGCACTTAACAGACTTTGTTTTCCTCTATTTTTTATATTTGTTATTAAATGGTAGAAACAAGTCTTAGAATGTCGGCTTGTGACACACAGGAAATGTGACTGATTCTTAATGACTGATTCTAAACAACAAAATAACATGACAAATTTGTAAGAGGATGGGGAGTGCTTTGGAGGAGGGGGGGGGGGGGGTATAAAGAGAAATCTGTGTAGGTACTATGTAGGTAGCATTGCAGTATTGTAAACCATAGTGTTTAGAGGAGGGAGGAATTGAAATAAACATTCTTGCTCCTTTTTTGTCTACTTTTTAATCTAAAACAAACAAATCAAGACTAAATACTCTATCATCTGTATATAAACATGAAAGACTGCTTGTTTCCCACTTTTTCATTCACAAGCAGAAATAACTTATGTACAATTAATAGTGTAACATGTAATATAATGTCAATGTGTAGATTGTAAATAACAGTTATTTGAATAGAGTCGTATAGAATGATTTTACTTCTCTATTTTGCGATTGTGAAAGGGTTTGTTGCAAGTAATTGAAAATGAAAAGATTTGTTTATAAGATCATCTTCGATAGATAGATTTGCATAAAAAGGGGTTTATAATCGCATTACATATCTAGATGATAACCTCTTTAGGAAGACAATTGGAAGTTGTATATGTCAGTGTATTAACATTGATAATGTCTTGGATGTTCAATCTTCATCAAGATGAAATATAATTTAAAGAACATATTATATTTTAGTCTGGATATTATGCACTTAATTTCTCTTGTAATATGGCTCATTAAACTATTTATTCAAATGCTATACACAGAGCTGCCAACTAGTACGGATTTTCCGTAATTGGTACGGAAATTAACGACCATTACGGAATGTTGTCTCAAATTACGGATTTAAAAAAAAAAAAAAAAAAAAAAGATTTTTTTTTTTTTTTTTTTTTTTAATGAATTAAATATGATTTATCGTAGCGAGTGCTGTGAATAGGAGCCATTTTTCATGATAAACTGTGTTGTGATGACCTGAAATTCAATACTTAACATCTTTGTGTGAGTAAAATCACCAAAAATTTCAGATAATCATGCGTCCGCGCAGTGTTGGCGTGTCGTTTTTTGAGATTCATAGCGCCGCATAAGAAATTACTGATTTATACCCCAAATTACTGATTTTGAGCCTTGTGATTACTGATTTTCTGTTCTGGAGGTTGGCAGCTCTGTATACATCACACTTATTGCTTTTGTGTCAAGGAGAGAATATTACGAAATTTGCTCCAACAAATACCTCTCCTTGTTTATGCTTGCTTAGTTTACAAAACACCTTGGATGTTTTTCCATCTCTTGTAATATATACTACACCTCCAGTAATATACAACAAACCTTTTAGTATAAAGAAGTATCAATAACATAATTTGGCCAACGGCAATCAAAAGGCAGCGGATAACATTTATGTTGAGCAGGTGCAAAATGATTTATTGTCCAATCTTCCGTTCTCTTACTGGAAATATGAGAAAATATGATAAATATGAGAAAATTATAGACACAATATCAAAACAGGTGTAAGAAGAAAGAAAAAAAATGTTGACCGACAAAAGCGATGATCAAGTTTGCTTACCAAGTTTGGAATTATCCTTGTCTATATATATCATACATTTTAGTATGCTTAGGAAAGGCCTTCGATTTGAATAGAAAAGGAGTGTTTTTAAATCATTCTGTAGTCCAGCATTAAAGGATATGAGTTTCAGTCAATTGAATCACTTTGAATCATGTTCATTTCATTTTCGGGATTAAGTTTTATTTGGTTTTATTCATATTCATCGGTGATAGAAAATGGTGTATTATATCTTATGAAAAGGTGTTGTTGGTGGTGAATCTACATGTACTAAATCATGAATTTTAAATTTCTCGTGATGTCTAAATTAATTCAAGGAATATCATATTAATGAAAGGAAACCTGTGCATCAACAACACGTCTGCAAAATACCAAATTTCTCTGCTGTACCAAGTCGGGGGGATGGGGGGGGGGTATACCGTGTTAAGACATTGCTTCAAGATACATCTTATAAAATTACGATCTTATTTAATCATGCATTTTTCAATTACTTTTTCAAATGTTGCCTCTTTCAAGTTAATGTAATAGAATAAAGCAGCATTATAGTTGTGAAGAAAACGTGTGTATTGTGTTTTCTATTAAATTGTGCTGCATGTCTTTGTTTCATCCTCTCCTTTTTTTTTTCTCTCTTTCTCTTTCTCTTCTCCTCTTCACATATTCCATCCACCATACCTTCCTCTATCACTATATTGGTCCATTCCCTCCTTCTCCTTTTTGTCCTTCTTCTACTTCTTCTACTCCTTCTTTTCTCTCTATTCTTCTTATTTGTATTCTTCTACTACTTTTCCTGTTGGCAATTTTTTTTTTTGGTGGTGGTGGTATTTCCGATCGTGATTCGACGGAAGTTCTGTTCAATATTCATTTGTGTGCCATTCAGAAAATAATCCCATCCCTCATCCCTCCATTTATACTATTACTTAATTGCCAAATAAGTACCCAATTTAGTTGCTCACCGTGTGAAAAAGAGAATTATCCGTAATACTGCAGATCACGTCTACTTTATGATGGCATTGGGCCTAGGTCGTTTATGACGTCAGCAATGGAATCGTACAAGTAAAGTACAATACTAATTAATGTAATAAGTCATCTACCTCAAAAAGGAAGCTCCATTCTGATTGAAATGCATGGGAATTGCGGAAATGCTACAAAATCCTTTGTAATTATGTTTGAAGAAATTGGTTTTCAGGTTTGACCAATTATTTTGTAAATCTCTGCACTTTGTTCCTCTTCAATGTGCCCCCCCCCCCCATCATTCCCTTATGGGGGCACATATAACATGATCAATGGGAGAGGGGGGGTTGCGAAGAGGGAAAGTGAGTGTGATAAGAGGATGGCACGATATTTCTCTTTGACGTCTTGGTGAAAATGTTGCGCCATCTGGTCAGAAATAAATTTATCTCGCGGGATCGTTCGTTCGTGTCTCCTTAGATCAAGATTTAATGATCTAAGGAGACACGAACGAACGATACCAGGAGATAAACCCACATTACGCCATTGCTTTACTGTTCACTAATCCTCCATCATTACCTATCCTAAACATGTTCGCTAAAGATGTGATTGTTTTTACGGTTTGCACCTCGGGGGCATCTTAGTTTACCAAAATAATGTCGGTCTCGTAAACTCTCAGAAAAGTTGTTTTCAGAAAGTCGGCAAGTGGGCCAACGATCATCATAGAGTGGTGAAGGGTGACGTCATCAAAAATCTATTTTTAGAATTTCTCAATTTTTTCTTCATATTCCGAAATAACATCAAAAATAATGTCCAAATGTCGATAACCAATTGATTATGTTAAGTATTGGCTGAGATATGACCATCTGAATGAATATATGTCCTATAGGAACTCAGTGTTATATTCTATGGCTCCTAACCATTAGGAGCCAGAGCGAAAAAAAGAAGAAAGGAAGAGGACGTAGGAAGAAATAGGATTAAGAGTCGAGAACGGTACAACGAATCGTCTTCTTACTCTAATAATTTAATGAAACGTCTAAGCTTTCGCGCTTCGCGCGGGAGGGGAGGGGGGAATTGAATTCAGATAAGGATTAAGAATCGAGAACGGTACAACGAATCGTCTTCTTTCTCTAATAATTTATGAAACGTCAAAGCTTCCGCGGGAGGGGAGGGGGGAAAACTGAATTTAGACAAGGATTAAGAGTCGATCGAGAATGGTACAACGAATCTTCTTCTTTCTTTAATAATCTAATAAAACTTCAGAGCTTCCGCGCTACACGCGGAGGCAGGGGAACTTGATTCAAACAAAAATTTAGAGTCGAGGACCGTGACGGTACAGCGAATCGTCTTCTTTCTCTAATGAAACGTCAACAGAAACTGAATTTAGATAAGGATTAAAAGTCGAGAATGGTAAAACGAATCGTCTTCTTTCTTTAATA